GGAGATCTACTCCATCCTAGAAATGGGAAAAACACAAGGAGAAGAGGAGGAAACTATCTTGGAGGATGCTCCCAATCTTCTTGGCCCTTGTGTTGAACTCTCCTTGGAGGAGATCTTCCCAAAATCCACCTAGAAGCAAAACCCTAGCCTTCTTCTTCTTTGGTTCGTGTTTCTCTCTCTAGAAATCTGAAGAAGGCTTTTTCACACAAAATGAGCTCTCCCTTCTCTCCTCCTTTTAGCTCATCTTTTAAACCAGAAGCGAGCTCAGTTCACGGCATGAGTTAACGGTCGTGAACCATGAAACGCGTCCTTGAACTACAGGCGTGCGCCAAAACGCACTGCTTCGTTCACTTCTGTTCACGGTGAACAGCCTCCATTCACGGTCTTAGTGACAGTGAACTCACCTTGCGTCAATAACCTCTATTTTGGCTCTGGAAACCTCGAGATTCACGGTCAAGGGCTCTTCTTCACGGTCGTGCAAGATCGTGAACTTCCTGGGATAGCCATGAACTGGCCCTTTTTCACCTCTTCTCCCGGTTGTCGATCCTTTTCGTCCAACTTTCGACTCCGAGGCTGGGTTCACTTGTTAAAACCTAAAACACATTAAAACACGAGAAACCTAGCGTAAAACCAACCTTTTTGGGGTGAATTTGCCACAAACACCTAAGTAAAAAGGAGGCAAAACATATACAATTACGCCCGAATCAGCTGGCCCTAAGCTAGAGGAATGTAGATTCTTACATCTCAAGGGAGATTCAAGCAAGGAGGAAGAAAGATTATCATCTCTTCATGTTTATTTCTCTCCTTTTTCTTGTTTTCCTTTGCCTAGCTATGGAACAACCTACCTATTCACTTGGGTGTTGTGAACCCTAGCTACAATTATGTGAATGCTTGTATGAATTGAATGATTTGTGTTGTGGTTGTGTTTAATGTGAATGTGGAGGTATTCTTCCTGAACGATTGTGTCGTGTGAAAGCCTATCAATCTAATTTCCATTCTAACCTATGTAGAGAGAAACCCCACTCCCCCTTGCTTTTTGTTAAAGAGGCTTTGATGCTTGGTTTTCTTGGGCAATTCATTATCTCCTAGTTAGGTTAATGCAGGGCAAACCTCCTATTTCTTATTAGCACCTAAGGTTTGTTTGTGGGTGGCCGTCCAAACTCCGATTTGAGGGTGAAGTCTAACTAATCCTTAGTCAATAGGTTGAGAGAGTCGCATTAGTGGCTTGGACCGTATCCCCTTTCCTCGACCTAGAGACTAAGAGGGTAGCTTTGGCTACTTGTTAGACTTCCCTACGGTTTACAACCCCCTTGCCACACACGATCATTCGATCCAACAAGTCGCAATTGTTAGCTAGGGGGAGCAACACCCGAGTGAACTCTTCTCTCATTGGGACGACCTCGATTTATTTTACTTGATTGTTTTTATCTGTAGTTTTCTTAGTTTTAAATCCAAAATCGTTTTGCTAGATAACAACCTAAGCGATTGAAGTAGGGGTACATGGACCGGACTGAGTTTGACGATTAAATACTTGCCCTATACTGCACACGACTAGAGTTTAAAAATTTGTGCTCTAGTCGAGATTAATTCACGGTGTAGTTCTGTGCGAGTCAATATGGCTCGTAACTCGTCCTGTAAATCGGCGACTTGGACGATTCGGAGAGTTACGGTCTGTAACTGGGGTTGTAACTCGCTGGGACGCCTGGATGAGGAAGAGTTATGGTTGAGACCGTAACTTTGAGGCTGAGCCCTTAACTTCTGGGGTAAAAACCCAGACAAACCAAAGGGATGTTTAAAGTTACGGGCTATGGGGAAGAGTTACGGTCGAGACTGTAACTTCTCATCTCAGGCTATAACTACTCGGGCCGTTCTACCTGCGTCTGCCCAAATTCGCCGAAACCAACACCAAATGCCCGAAAACACCCCCCAAACCATCGGTAAATTTTTTTTTAAAGAATAGGGCCGCCCAATGCACAAAGAATGATCGCAAAACCCCATTTTAGACACTTGAAACATACAAAATGACAAAAACAACAAGAAAAAGTTGGAAGAAAATGCAAAACGAGGTGGGGTTGCCTCCCCACAAATGCTTCTTTACAGTCTGTTAGCTGGACGCAGATGGCGGAACCAAGGGTCCGCGAGATCAACCACCAATTTCTCGCATTTGACATCGCCTCACAGGTACAGCTTGAGGCGATGCCCATTTACCTTGAAGGGCTCAATCTGCGAATTCGCAATTTCGATTGTGCCATATGAGTGACCGCGAATGGTCTAGACCACCGGGAACGCAGCTTTCCCAGAAAGAGTCGCATGCAGGATTTGTAAAGAAGAACTCGATCGCCCACATGGAACTCTTTCGGAGCTTTGAGCCGAGCGTCATGGAGACGCTTGGTTTGCTCCTTATACAGTCTGGTGTTCTCATAGGCGTGATAATGCAATTCTTCTAACTCCACCATCTTCATTTTTCGCTTGGTACCTGCAAGACTCAAATCAAGGTTAAACAGCTTAAGGGCCCAGAAGGCCTTGTTCTCTAGCTCGACAGGCAATTGGCAAGCCTTTCCATAGACAAGCCGATAGGGTGAGGTACTAATAGGCATCTTGTAGGCCGTCCTATACGCCCATAGAGCATCATCGAGCTTGGTGGACCAATCTTTACAGGATTGATCCACCATCTTTTCAATGATCCATTTTAGCTCCCTGTTTGTCAGCTTGGCTTGACCATTTGTTTGAGGATGTCAAGCCACCGAAACCTTGTGCCTCACATCATAGAGAGAGATGAGCTTAGTGAATTTCCCTTGAAAATGGGTACCTCTATCGCTAATGATGGCCCAAGGTGTCCCGAACCGAGAGTAAAGGTGCTCAAGAAATGAGCAGACTCGTCTTACGTCATTGGTGGGCATGGCTTGAGCTTCTGCCCACCTCGGTAGGTAGTCCATAACAACCAAGATATAGAGATTACTGAACAAAGGAGGAAATTGACACATGAAGAGCGTGCCCCAGACATCGAAAATCTCAAAAGTTACAAATGACTCTTGGGGCATCTCATCACTGTTAGAGATATTACCTTACCGCGGACATCGATCGCACTGGCGTGCGAAGGTATCAACATCCTTGAAGAGTGTGGGCCAAAAGTCATTTATATCAAGAATCATGAAATCAACAGGATATGCAAATGGCTCTAGGATGCACAATAGACCTATTGGCTATCTAAATGCTCATCCTAGTATTTCTGGGTTCACCTAGACCTAGCTTCTGAAATAATTTATATGGCATGACGTTTATGCTAGAGCCTAAATCCGCCAAGGACTTCCTTACATGCAAGCTACCTATAATGCAAGGGATAGTAAAACTCAATGGGTCTTTACGCTTTTCTAGTAGCTTGTTCTGCAGGATTGCAGAACACTCCTCATTCAACATCACCGTCGAGAGCTCCCCAAGCTTCCTCTTGTTAGTGAGGAGGTCCTTCCTAAACTTCGCATAGTTAGGAATCTTAGACAGTGCCTCCATGAAGAACATGCTGATTTTGACCTGCTTTAGCACTGCCATGAATTTTGAAAACTCAGGCTCCGATTGGTCTTTGTGTAAACGGGTAGGAAAGGGGAGTTGAGGTATATACTCATTGACCACTGGTTGTGGCTTGGGAGGAGGGACAGGAAAGGTGCTCTTCTCGACCTCCTCGTGGATCACCAATCATAGCTCTGCTCTGCCTTTTCATCAAAGAGCTGATTCAACTGGGGTGGCGTCTTGGTAAGCATGTTCCCGCCGCAGACCGAGTCAACCAGCTACTTGTCTTCGGGAAGAGAGAGTGGTAGAAGGTGCCCACCTAGAAGGCGTCATTGAAACCATGGTTTGGACACTTTTGGAAGAGGCTAGTGTACCTCTCCCAAGCATCGCGAATGGTTTCATCCTCGTCCTGGGCAAAGTGTGTAATCTCTTTTTGTTGGTCTGCTGTCTTGGACGGTGGATGATTGCGAGTCAAGAACTTGTTGGCCAAGTCAGTGAAAGTCGTGATTGACCCCAGAGCTCTTTTGTCAAACCACATCTTGGCCTGTCCCTCCAGAGTAAAAGGAAAGTACCGCACCTGAATGGCATCCTATGGGACTCCTTTAATCTTGATTCCATCGATCGGCTCGTGCAATCATCGTAGGTGGGCTTGGGCACTCGCCTGATTTCCCATGGAATACCACTGAGTTGCGCAACATGGTGATGACAGAGGTGCTCACCTCAAAGTAGTTAGCAACAGCTTGAGGGTGTTGGATGGAGGGCCTCATGTCTGCGGCTCGGGCGGTCCAGTAATAGCCCATGGTGTATTCATCAAGCACAACCGCAACATTAGCCTTTGGGTCGCCCATTTCCTCCTCCTGGTAGATGTTCAGCTGAGCGAAAGCTTCCTCCGCAGCCGGTCGTGCCTTTAACGCCCTCTTGGAGTTCCGACAGGTCCTTTCAATCTCTTGGTTTAATGGCAGTAGATCTCCCAACTAGCTACGCGTCATGAGCTACCTGCACACAGACGACAAACACAACCCGTGAAGGCGCACAGGGGGAAGAAAGAAAATGCAGAAAATTAAATGCTAAAGTGACAGATTTTCACATTTCTCCAATAACCTAGAGGGTCCCCGACAACGGCGCCAAAAACTTGACATGCTTTAACACAAGACCAAACTACGACCAAGTGCAATCGTAGGATTGAAATGTAGAACAATGGTTTAGTTTTAATATCGACCCGGGCTCTAGTGACGCTGTTTAAAACTAAAGAAACAAAAAGCAAGTAATGTTCTTGTTCTTTCAAGTACTAAAAGTCATCCAGGTATGGTTCCCCCTAGTACGCAGCTAGTTCAAGTTATATGTTCCCAATTTGTTCAGATTGAAAGATATACTGCGTGTAACACCCCGAATTTTGGGTTATGGTTCGACCATAATACGTGAACGGTTGGATCGACGGTTACGTACGGAGGGTTACAATCGTGGGTTAATTTATAATAATAATAATAATAATAATATAAACTATATTATTATTATTAAAAATAAAAGGAAAAACAATATAAAAATAATTTGTCCAAGAGGGCAGAGCCGCCTCAACCCTTCCCCAAACCCCACGTCCAAAGCCCATCTACTTGGCTACGCGGGGATAATTAATTGGGAATGGAGCGGCCGCCCTAATCCCCTCACCGACAAAATCTTCGCTTGCTACCAGACCCGCGCCGCCCACCACGGCGTCGTCTCCAGCGACTGGCTTGTCGGCCACCTCCCTGAAGGCGACGACAATCATATTTGGATGTTCGTTGTAGGCAGTGGCAAGCGCAACCTCTCGTGTGGAAGGGCCATGAATCTCAATACTTCTGCCACAAACCTCTACAACATGTCCAGACTCCTCTTCCGAGCCAAATGATATAGAAAGAATTTGAAGCCCAGCTGAATCTGCTGCTTTAATGACAACCTTCCCCATGTTTCCACTACATCTATTACCATTATTGGGACACCGTTGTTGCTGCTGGTGGACATGTATAATACCACAAGAGAAGAAGAGCGGCGTCTGCGTAGGAAGCATCCAGCTTTTGCTGGCGTTCTATCTCCAAGCAAGGTAACCTTGGGCAATAATCCGGATGAAATGGACGTGCAAGGATTTCGGAGGAGTGGGTCACGACATGGGTGCAGCAACACGCTGGAGTGATTACTAAAGTCGGAGATAGAGGCGCATTGGATGTAGTAGAATTTGAAACGATGCTGCAATAAAACCATTTGATACGAGAAGGAAAAGAAAGAGCAGTTGGCGATGACTACGGTGAAGAACTAGATGGCGGACTACGGCGACTACACCGCGGGTGTGAAATCGATAGTGCTATGTCTTGCTCTCTTCAATCGGAGACCCCGGCCAATGATTGACCAAATGGGTTGTCAACAATTATAGAGATGGATGGATGGATCAATTATTCATGGGGAATTGAAGCTTGAGGTGGATGATCGTGTAAAAAGAATTTTGGAAGCACCCAAGATGGAGCTTGCTTGCACACTCAAAGTAAACGAGGGTTCAAGGCGATCAACCGTTGGATGATGGTTAGTTCAAGTAAATCAACTTGATAATAAGGTGAGTGTAAAGGGGGTAAATTCTACGCCTTACGTGTTCTTCAAGTATTTTCCTTTAGTATTTCGAGTATTGATTTACGTGACGTATGTGCAGTATTTGATTCATGTTTGAGATTGCATGATTACGTTTGATGTGAATGTGCATGAGTTCTTAGTTAATTTAAAGCTTTCTGTTTATAAGTTATTGTTAAAGTTAAGAAACAAGTTCTTTTTAAAGAAGTAACTCACCTTCCAGAAGGTGAAGTCGTTTAAGTGTTTTAGTCACTAGCGCCAGTCTGTTGCCTTTTGAGACATTTTGAGATAGAGCAACAGTTATGCTCTTGAGAATCGTGGTGAAGAGCCACCACGATAAGTTTAAGATGTTAGGGGGATGAATCATTACGACTTCCCTAACTAAGTTTAAGTTTAAGGAAAGCCTAGATGGCTTCTCATACGTATGAGTTTGCAACCGGACTAGCTAGTGAGGGATCCCAGTGTCAGTCAAGTATTCAGGTCGAGATTTGAGCTTTAAGAATGGAGAGTAACAGTAACTCCCATACAGTTTTAAGAGTTAAGCTTTTTAATAGTGGAAGTACAAAACAACTTCCACATAGTTAAGTAAAGTGATCAAGTTTTAATAAGATGTTAAACGTAAGGGCGTAGACTGACCCCATCTCACTCACTAGTTTGAGGAGCTAGAGGAGCAGTTAGTGAGCAGAAAGTTCGAGAGCAACCAGCTAGAGGAGGGCAGTGCAAGCGCCTCGGAGGATGCCTAGTTAAGATTTTCAGTGGCAACAACGACAGAGACTACCTAGTTATTTACATTTTATGATTATGAGTATAGACTGGAGATCAGGTTGAGATTTAAGATTTGAGTTTAATTTGCCCACGTGTTAGGGCTTTGCTCTGAACTACAAGTGTGTGTTTTCAGTATTTTATTTATGAAAATTTTTCCCGCTCCAATTTAAGATTTGAGTATTTTATTTATCAATTGCATTTTAGTAAAAGTAGTACCTGGGCGGGTTAGGGTGTTACACTGCGGAAAGTTCTTGACAAGTCTGGAATCCCGACTAAAGAAGACCAGACCCTCTTAGTTCGAATACCCGGCGGGTGACTAACCTCCACCGGCATAAACTACAAAGGCAATAACACACCAAACTTCCTCTACTGGCTTTGATTCTAGTACAGAGCAGTGAATCGACTTCTCGACTAAAGCAGTCGATTCACCACTTCCAATTTAAGGTTGCTCTTTTAACCTATGCAGAGACTATTATTCTAGGTTAAAGCAGGAATCACACAGGTTTGATCTGGACTCATGCAATTCTGATTAATTCATATACTGAATATATCAAATCAATCATTCACCAACGGGGTTTATACAACCATTCCTAGCATACAAAATTAGGGTTCTTGATACCCAGATGAAAGGGGAGTTTACACCATGGAGAGAAGTGGAAACATTATGCTAGGGGAAGAAATCATCATGTTGGCAATTAAAATCTGCTCCTGACGGCTAATCGGTACTCTGAGGTTGAGGATTCGAGCTCCGAGGTATTTAGATCACTCCAATTCTTGCGCAAGGGATGTGCTTATTCACTATCTCTCTCTCTCTCTCTCTCTCTCTTGGGTCCTCTTTCAGCGTTTAGAAATCTCAAAATCCGGATTCTTTGCCTTTTTCGTGAGCAGCCCTTTTATAAGCTGGAGATTTGCGAGTTTGGCCTAAGTTACGGCCGTAACTTCCTTCTCCTAGACCGTATCTCTTCCTTAAAACGTTGTCGTTGTTGTGCTCCATAAACCAAGAGTTACGGCTTCTTTGGAGAAGTTACTGTAACACCCTAACCCGGCCGGGTACTAATTTTACTAAAATGCCCTTGAAAAATAAAATACTCAAGCTTAAACTGCATCGGGAAAATTTTAATAAACAAAATACTGAAAATACACTCTTGTAGTTTAAAGCAATTCCCTAACGCGTGAGCAAATTAAACTCAAAATTTAAAATCTCAAACCGAACTCCATTCTATACTCATAATCATAAAAAGTAATAACTAACTAGTCTCAACTACTGCTGCTGCTCATAGGAAACTCTAACGGGACATCCTCAAAGACGTTCGTATTGTACTCCTTTAGTTGGCTTCCCTCAAACTGCTCCTCTCGAACTCGCTTCTCTCTAACTCCTCTTAGTCCTCTTCAAACTGGTGAGTGAGTTGGGGTCAGTCTAAGCCCATACGTTTAAAATCTCTAGAACTTTTTACTTAAAACGCTGAACTTAAATTGGTGGAAGTTGTTTATACTTCCACTCTTAAAAAAAAAAATCTTAACTCTTAAAGTTGTATGGGACCTAGGGTTACTCTCCATTCTTAAAGCTTAAATCCTAACTTAAATACTTGACTGACACGGGGATCCCTCACTAACTAGTCCGGTTGCCCAACTCATACGTATGAGAAGCCCTCTAGGTTTTCCTTAAACTTAAACTTATCGTGGAAGGCTCTTCTTCCACGACTCTCAAGAGCATAACTGCTGCTTCTTAAAAATCTCAAGAGCATAACTGCTGCTCAACTTTAATATCTCAAGAGCATAACTTCTGCTATGTATCAAAGATCTCAAATAGCATAACTGGTGCTTTATCTCCAAATCTCAAATAACAACGGACTGGCGGTAGTGACTAAAAACTCTTAAAACAGCTCCACCTTCTTCGAAGGTGAAGTACTTCTTAAAAATAACTTGTTCTTAAACTTTAACAATAACTCATAAACGTAAATATTCATGTAAGAAATAAACTCATACACATTCACTTCAAAACTTAGCTCAACCAAAGCACATTTAATCAAACATAATCATGCAGTCTCTAACATGAACCAAATACTGCACATGCATCATGTAAACCAATACTTGAAAATACTCAAGGCAAATACTTGAAAACAAATCGTAAGACGTAGAATTTACCCCCTTTACACTCACCTTATTGATGAAGTCGACTAGCTTGAATTTACTTCGAACAGGCCTAGTCTTCGTACGATCGAAAAGTGTCAACAATATTCCCGCAACCACTTAGCATTGCTTGTAATACCATGATCCACATCCATGCCATCCACTACACGTTACCATTCAAAAAATTGACTCCTTTTGCACTTAGGGCCGAGCACCTCGATCACCAATGTAACCATTGCATAAATCTCTCAACCCCCACCGTTGCAACAAGCATAAAGGCCCACTCTTAATCATTTCCTTATTATACGAATTTAACAATGGAACGGAGCATTTACCTTCCACCTTAAAGTACCTCCGCAATTGATTCATGGATCTTCAACGATGGTTCCATCAGGATGCCAACATGTCGATAATGCCGAACTAGCCAACGCACCTCTCTTCCTCCCATCTATTTCCACAGATTTGGCATGTCGAGTTTCGCAGCAATTTACGCTTTTCATTCTTGTTGTGGCGTAGTGATGGTAATTTCATGATCTCCCGTGTGCGGCTGTTGGACTCGAGAGGCAGCATGATAAAAAAATGGTTTTATGGGGAAAAGGTGATTAACGCACCTAGGGATTGGATTAGGGCGTTCCCTTTTTTTTTTCTTTAGCTTAATTTAAAGGGTGGAGTCGAGTGGATGAGGTGATTAACGTGGGGTTATTTTTTTGTTTTTAATTAGTAATATTAATAGTTATAGCTATTATTATTACTAATTCACGTTCGTATCCCTTCATATGTAACCGCCCATCCAACCATTCATTAGAATGCGGTCGAACCTGAAACAAAATTCGTAGTGTTACTGATAGACCGTCATTTACACATGTTTTTACCCCCGTTCTTACACAGTTTGAGGTGTTGATTCTCGTGTTTTAGACCGATTTCACGCTAGGTTGTGCTTGTTTGTGATATTTCAGGTCCTAGTACGTGAATGAAGGCTTAGGAGCGAGTCTGGGGTCGATTGGGCGAAGAACGGACGAATGGCGAGGTTTTTGGGGAGCTGCACGGGCAGACCAGGGAGGCCGCACGGCCGTGCACGGTTGCAAGCTGGCCGTGCGCCTCATGCCGAGGAGCTGCACGGGCAGGCCCTGAAGATTGCACGGCCGTGCACCTGGCCGTGCAAGAAGCCTGAGTTCGACTTAAGGGATACGCTGCGTTTCATGGTGCACGGCCAGAATGGTGAGGTGCACGGCCGTGCACCCTGGCCGTGCAACTCGGGAAACCCGGTTTTAAAGCCTAATCCGAGCCAGAAGTGAGAGAACAGTGTTTTCAGAGCAAAAACAGAGCCCTAGAGAGAGAAAGTACGAAGAACACATCCTAGAAGCTGTCTTAGAGCTGGATTTCATCGAATCGAGCCTGGAGATCGTCATAGGAGTGAAAATCATCGTCCCGGAGCAGATTATCCTCATCGTTATGAGTATGACTAATCCGATTCTTGTTTTCTCTTCTCTCTCTATGGAGTAGAACCCTTCTCTCACTTGGGGATGAAGAACCCTAGTTCTATGTGTTAGGGATTGATTGTAATGACTTGGGATGATATTACTGTTTGGTTTTAATCGATTGAGACATGCTTTATTGAGTCAATTGAATCTTGATCAAATTCTCTTGATTTCTGCTTTAACCTATGATAGA